TTTTAAACGCAATGTGTTTTATATCTTTCCATAAATAGAACTTCTTTGAAACAATTCAGACTTATCCTTAAACAAGAGTACAACGAAAAGGGCATTTTAGACTAATCCGATTTGAAATTTGCTTCATTCTTTTATAGGGAAAGTTAAACGCTCAGTGAATCAAGTTATAATCTGCAACTCATCGACAATACCAAATAAATGCCGTCCTGACCAATGGAAGTACAGTTGCCGGACAGAAGTGAAATGTCGCATTGATCGTGCCCGAAAACAATTTGAATGTAGTTGTTCTAATAGCCGTCTTTTAAGTGCAATTGTTTGCTGTGATATAACATGTTAATAAAATCCATCGATCAGGCGCGTAGCGTGGACATTTTGGCTAAAACGCACAAGTCAGGGACCGCGATACATATTTTCGATTGGGGAGGCTAACGACCGCCGAACGGGCAGGAGTATTACAAGAGTATTACAGGGGGCCTGAGGAATTTTGAAATAATAGCTCTTGGAAATGCGATTTCCACCGTATATACAATACATCAAATTTATGTGAAGTTATAATAATTTTTGCGAAAATTTCAATATTTCCTTGAAAGCAAGTGCATATATGCTTTAAGGACGCTATGCGCATGTCGATCAATCCCGTAAAGGCGGATAACCACTTAAACATACTATTGGTCTATCACTCATACTGCGCTGTGATTGGCTACTCTACTAATGGTTTAATTTGTGATAGACCACTCGCGGGAAAATCAAAATAAATAAATTATAAATTATTTTAAGGATATTTCAATTTGTTTTCATTATTTGACCGATTAGTCCTCTATTTGAAGGGTATACGTAGGGTGAATAGAACAATAAAGAAAGTACTRTTTAGTTGGTATTTGTTATAGAGCAATAAAAGTACTGTTTAGTTGGTATTTGTTATAAAGTGCTTGCACTTAAAGCGTGAAASMAATAGTACTAATTACTACTAAATAGTGTTGATTATACAAAAGGAAACAAASGAATTTGTATAATTTAYCACCAATTTTGTAGTATTTATATTTCACGCATTTAGTGCGAGAACTCTAGAGYAATAAATGTCGTACTATYTAGTTGGTATTTGTTATAGAGTGTATTCATTATAAACTTAAAATATTTTAGTCCTTTTCCATGATAGAGCGCAGGGGGGGGGGGAGTGACTCGAGGTTCTTTGTTTTCCATTTATTCTCAGGTGGCATCGATTCAGCGTACGTTATTTGGTGACATACATGTAAAAYATTGTTACAAAGCGTTTAAACTATTTAGATTATTTGATGAGAGCCAAGTAGGCGTTAACATAGCAAGCTCCATACAGATACGTAGTTAAATTCAAATCTTCTACTAATCATGAAAGAAAATTGCGAATTGCGAAAAGAGCAAGGGATCTAGAGTTTCATGTAGCTGAATGGGTTTGACTGTATACATGATTCACTTTATGCAAATTGATTAAATTGATTTGAGCGTTGCCCCCATCTACACATGATCCAGATTGATTGTTCGATTTCTTCAAATTTACCATCTACTATATATTCAGTCATTATGAAGCAAAGAAGAAAAAATTGTAACATATTTATCTTTTAAATTCCGCAGATATCAACGTAATTTCGAAGGAGCGTTGAATGTAAAACCTGCAAATAGTACAATCACACGTCAAGCTTTTTTGAGAAATTCTGCGTAAATCA